CTCTGCCCGTGAGGTATTCTTTGACTTTGGTACCCGTGTGCTTCGATGCCACTTCCTCCGCATCTCTGCCCAGTTGCTGCTCAGCGAAGAGAGTCGCGAATACCGACTGAACGGTCTGGGACTGACTTCTCCCCTCCATAAACTTCTCCAGAGCAAACTGGTAGAGCATCTTCAAGTCGCTGGCCGGACCCATGACCATTTTGGAGTGGATGAACTTCGCTGGGGTATCTGATATGCGTCGACCGTTCTCGCTTCCGTAGGTGTTGTCCGAGAGTATCGATTGAGGCACATACTTGCACGCCATGTCGTCATTCTCGCAGATCTTCTCTGCGCCGAACACGATTGTCTGGTTGAACTTCTGGTAGCCTTCCTTGTTAACGCCATACTTCTTCAGCAGCCGCATGTTGGCGTCTGCCAACAGCCTCTTATACTGCGTGACAATCACATCGCTTGGCAGCTGGAACATCGAATGTTGTCCGTCCACGATGAGAACCAAGTCATGGTCCTTGACCAGCTTCTCATTGCTCAGGTAATGCAGCGTGCTGTTCAGTGTGTCCCTGTCCCACTTGATGTCCGACTCATATGGCTTGTGTAGCTGTACCGCAGTCGGTGGAGGGTAGTGGAGTAGCATAGCAGACAGAGTCGTCTTGCAGAAGCCATCGGTGTCGCGCTCGGCAGGCATAAGGAGATGGAAGTTGGGCGTCGTCTTCTTGAGTTTCGGCGGGACGTGGTCGAGTTCGCCATTCTCGATCTGCAGCGTCGTGTTCGAGGGAGTCCTGAACGGCGAGTGTACGATGTCGGGCAAGGGCTGGAGATACGGTCGCCATGGGTAGTACGAGGAGAAGTTGTGGTATCGTGAAGATATGGCCTGTTGGAGTTAGCTTGGACCTCGCTGATGACGTTCAAGTCTTGCGGGGTATGCCGCATATCTCGACGTCGTCTTCTCTGGTCTGTATCAGGTTGAACGTACCTCATGATTCCTCATACCCGTCAGTCCAAGCAGAACCGTGAGAAGTGCAATCGTCAAGACCATCATCCTGCCTCTTCGCGTGCACGCCCATTGCACGGCGGCACTTCCAAACTCTTTGGGCGACTGTGTCGGAGACATTGGCAATGCCAGCATTGCATCGCCTGCCATGGTGGGTGTGGAAAGGAAAGAGCGATTCGACGACCTGTGACTCCCTCGCTCGAAGCGGAAGTGGTCATACTTGGTCGACGGCCAGGTGGGACGCGCCTTCTGTATCCCCTCTGTGTGCCTTCCGTCTGGTGTCCCTGCGTCCCAAACGCCAGGGTCTCAACACGGATAGTCGTCGTCACACGTCACGGTCCGATCAAGAACGCGCGTAATCTCCACTGAGTTGCAGTTCTCTGTTTCGAAACAATGCCGCTGCCATTCTGCACGCGCGCGCCATGGTATCTCCATAGTTGCGTGAAACATGCTGGAAACGTCTTGTGTGTAACACTTACATTTCTCAGAAGGAAGTTGAGTTCAAGAGAAAGTCAGCCATGGACACGATGATAGGTGTACCCCTGTCTGTCGCGTCGCGTCGCTAATCTCAAGGCGGGCTAGAGGCGGAGCCGCTTCGGCAGTCTTTGCTTTGCAGATCCGATGGATCATCAGGAACACTCGTCATAATTGCCGCTGCACATGGCTGTTCGCATGTGAACTACGTGGGGATCCGCTTATGATTGCTGTAGCTTGGGCAACATCTCCAACAATCATCTGAAGAGATTTCAGGAGCTGCAAATCGATGCACCTACGATCTTCCAAACGCTAAATCGGGCAGCTTACAGCTAGCTTCTTTTGATTTTCGAGGCTGACAGCAGAGAAATTGTGTGCTGATCTGATCATCCGTACAACGTTTGTGGAGAGTCGTACGACAACTGTGTCGCAATGGCTTGCGCTGTGATGGGAGTCGGTCAGACTCTTCGATATACGCAGCAGCCAGTAAGGGTTCATCACCACGAACCGTCAAGCTCCACCCCCTAAAATCCAGCGATATACCGATGCTTATCCGTGACCTCAGTAACCTCAAACTTCATGCCAACCCTGAGATCCCCAACCGACTTCGGCACCGCGAGCATACCATAGCAGGGCTTGTATGTGATTCCCTCGTCGATCCTCCTATACTTCATCAACGCATCCCAGGGCTGCGTCTTGTGCTTCTCCGCCGAATCAGGATGTACATTAGGTACCTGACAGCGCGCGCATCGCTGGGTGATATCCAGAACGATTGGCTTGTCACCAGCATCAGGCGTAATCTTGATCGTCTTCCAGCGATCTTCATCCCAGGGCGTGTTGGCATCACCCTTCACGAGGATGTTGGGTCGGAAACGGCGGACGTCGATTGTGAGGCCTTCTGCAGCTTTGAGACGCGTGTTGAGTTCGTCGATACTGGATTGGTTGCCAACGAGCACGGGCATCAGGTCGGGGAAACAGGTCGATGCGTCTCTTCCTAGGACAGCTGGTGCACCGTTCGATACTAGAGGTCTGGGGTCTTCGGAGACAGGGGGCTTGTACACGAGCCGTACTTCCTTATCGAAGAAGCTGTTGAAGGGAGCGGTCATCTTCGTAGAGTACACGCGGGTTCCCGTTGTAGTACTCCATATCTTTGCCGAGTGCTCTTCGGTATTCTCGTCGAGCCATTCCTTAGATGGATGAGCCGGGATCGAGAACTCCAACTTCTCGTCGACCGGATTTGGTGCAGGTGCAGTAACGGTAAGGGTATCAGTCTTCTCGTCGTAGGTTGGTCGGATCAGTGTCATCTTGGAGTTTTGGCGGATCGTCAGGAACTCGTAGTTTGGGTAGCTCACCCACATCCATTGACGATCTGGCTCTGTCAGCATGTTACATCTCTTCGATCTGACAAAAAAGGCGCACCGAGATCGAGACCTGTTGGCAAGAGCTTTGCCGACTTTACGCTGATGCCGTGGCATGACTTGATGGGGTGTATGAAGAGCCCTGTAATCTCTGCCGCTGCTGGTAAAGGTCCAGCATTACTCTTTGTTTGTTGGTTCTTGGTGAAGTAGACATATGTGAGGATGGGTAAGATAAAGATCGATAGTAGAACCGCGATTTGCGTAGTGGCTGGGAGCGCCATGTTGCTGGCTGTGTTACGAGCAGTCAAGATTATGCGGCTTGCGTAGAACCTCAAGAGGGTAGGTAAACTGCAAGTGTTTCTCTCCAACGAGTCCTTTTTCTGCAGTGTACTAGTCACACGACTCTCTTCTCGTGTCATGTACTAATGCAAGTATAGCTGTAGGGCGTGCTCTGACAAATTTAGAATCAGTGCATCAGTCCAGAGCAATGCCAGAGCAAATGTCTTGCCTAATCGAGTGACGCAGAGCGGAGTTTATAACTACACTTGACACTTGACGATAATGACGCATCGAGCGGGGAAGGCGTTCGCAACGTAACGGGCTAGCGCTGCCGAAACCTCGCGTGTGCGGCGTCTCCGCGGCAGTCATGCATCGCGAGAACGCGACCGCGACATCCAAACATGCGACCTCCTACAAACTCTCAGACCGCATCCTCTTGCGCGACCTACCATCGTCACCATCATCAGACTCCTCATCCTCCCCCTCCCGCACCCTATTCAACCTCTCAATCTCCCCCTCCAACTCAACACAATACCCATCCAAATCCTGCGCCTGCTTCACCTTTCCCTCCAACTCCCTCACGCGCTGCTGTAACCTAATATTACCCTCCATACGCAACATACACTCCCTCTCCGCAGCATCAGCCCGTTGCTTCTCCTTCTCGACCTCGTACTCCGCGTCTTCCAAAGCTCGTCGCCGCAACTTCTCGGTTGTCTCGTATTCTTTGAGATCGGATTGGCAGCTGAGGAGTTGGGAGTCTTTGTCGAAGAGGGTGCCGCGGAGTCTGGCGGCTTCGCGGCGGGTGTCTGTGCAGGTTTTGTTGGTGCAGCGGGAGGGGGGTTGGGGTCGGGTGGCTGGGGTTGGGGATGCGCTTGACATGCGTCCTGCTGAAGGTGTGGAGCAGTCGATTGCGCTGTCGGGGATGTCTTGCTCCCATTCTTCGCGCTCGCGCACGCGTGGTGTAGATGGCATTGGAGTAGTACTCGCCACGTAGCTTCGATACTCCGCCCCGGACATACCGACTATCTCTTTCGGTTCGTCGAATCGGTCGTAATTGTACGGGTATCGGTGATGCAAGGGACCGTTCACGGAGGCGGCAATTGCTCGCTCTTGTGGTGTGTACATGTTCTCGTATCGCTTCATCGCTTCTCGTTGGTAAGCTACACCGGTGGGTAGGTCTGGGTATCCTTGGTAAGGGCGGAGTTTCTCGATTGTTGACAGAGTAACGTAGGGCCAGGTCTTTGGATCTTCTTTGTCGTAGGTAGGGATCGCGCGCTTGATGCTCGCATACAGCCTCGAAGAAACGAAGCTGAAGGTGCCCTCGTAGCGCGGAAGAGGTGCCATCTTCGGGTCGAGATCGTGTTAGTCATTTGTGCTGCGTTGTCGCCCATGCTCGACCTACCTTGAGAATTTCTAACGCGAAACGAGGGGTGTGATGCTGCTGCTGTCGATCGGAAGGGGCAGGAAAAGCTTTGCTAGCTATAGAGGCCGGCTGTCGTGATCAAACTCCCGCCCTTTCGGTTAGTCTGAAAGATTCGCGGTGAGAGGACGAGCGCTCCTCGTTCACCTTCACCATGAGCCATCTTTACCACTGGTTGCCATGGAACCTTGAAACATTTCTTGTATTGGACACGAGTCAGGAGAATCTACTGAAGATAAAGCCAGGAGACAGAGACATCAGGCTGACCGATGCCCTCTACCAACAAGTCCCATGGACTAGGTAGAGGCAGCGATGGAGGATCCGAAGCACTATATCTCTGAGCCGAATCCATATGACGTAGCCACGTCTTTGGCGACCCAGTGGATCTAGACCGATTGTCGCATACCCCAAACTTTCTTGCCGAACAAGCCAGCATACGCTGGAATCACGAACCGGACGCGCGCACACATCCCTCATGTTGCTACTGCATTTCGCAACTCTCGATCTTCGGCTTCTTTCGTGCTGCTCCTGCTCCATCCTCCTCCGCTCTCTTCTTCTGCAAACCTGTACCCTGTTTCTTCTTCTTCATCTCTTCCAAAATCTTGAAGATTTGCTGCTTTGCCACCTTGGTCTCCTGCTTCGCTGTCAAGACGTCTTCGCCACGCTTTCTGAGGTCCGATTGCAGACTGGCGATCTCATCTTCCTTCTTCACCAATATCTCTTTCAGGGTACTGAGGTTGGTGCGCTCTTGGCAAAGAAGCTTGTGCGACTGTTCCTTGTACTCGCGGAGTGCCTCTCCAACTTGGACGGAGAATCTTTGGACAGCCGTTTGGTACTTGGCTGTCATTGCAGTAACTTTATTTTTCGCGATTTCCGCTCTAATGTCTGCCTCTATGCTCTCCTTCTTGGTCTTTTCGAGTTCTTCTTCCAGTCCAGTCACTCTGCTGTTGGGTACTGTATCTGTGTCGCCCAACATCTTCATGATCTCATGAATAGCTGCTGCTTCGGGCGACTCATCCTCAGCAACTTCTTCAGTCGCATGGTTGCCGATTATCACATCCTTGGTGTCCTCCTCTTTCTTCGCAATCGGTTTGCTGCCCTTTATTTGACATATCCACTCCTCCAATTCGTCAGATGGGATATGCGGATGCGCTCTCAGCTCACCGTTGCGGTCATAGTTGAGTGGGTAGTAGCGAAAGAGGTTCTTCATGACTCGATTCTTTCGACGGGTAATGGCCCGCTGGCCTTGGAGAGGTCGAAGCCCGTCCATGTCCTTGATGAGTGTCTGCTCGTATACCAGATATTCGGGAGGGAGCTTGCTCTTCCTGTAGTCGAAGTTGTTCTCTGTTGCGGCGATCTGGCTTACTAACGGCCAAGTCCTGGGGTTGTACATGTCGTACGTCTGAGTGACTGTCTTCATATGCATTCGCATGAAGTAGCCGTCCCATGAGAAATCGCCGTTCCAAGTCCCACGGGGCTCGATGTTCTTATCGCTCATCTTGGGGAGCATGGGGCAGAGGGATGATAGAGCAGTAGTAGAGGTTTGCACGAGACGGGGGTGTAGGATACAAGCAGGCCAACATGATGATGCGTGTTTCTTATACGCGACCTCTGTTACCACCTGGGGGAGATGAGGTGATTTGCATCATCAAATGGCTTCTCTCACTCCCACGTTCTGACAGAGCTACGGTGAGATGCCGCACCAGGCCTCAGACGCCATCGGAGATGTCCATCAAAGAACACATCCGCATAGCAAATGCAGCAACGATCACCACAACACACTTACCCCCATCTTCCCCATGACCATCACGCGACAAAACACCGCAGTGAGACACAAACCCGCGCCACACCCTCGGCCCGACTCGCAGGATGCATTGCATGTGGGGGAGAAGCGCCTGCACGAGGGGGCCAGCCTCACCAACCAGTCAAGCTCCGCAGCGCGCTGCGGCACAGTCACAACGAAAAAGGACCGCCCCCGAAGTCTGACTCAAAATGCAGGTACACACCAAAGAGCGTGCGGCGGGGGCAGGCGGTAGACAGTATCGGTGACACACATGCAGACGAGGCAAAAGCCGTCCGGGGATGCATGGTGCATGTGCAGTGTGCATATGCAGGAACGGGAGTTTGCAGATACTGTGTGTAACGTGAGTGACGACAGTGCATGGTGTGCCAACGTCGATGGCGATGTCGATGTCAACCGTAACGTTCACGTCAATGTCACGACGAGGAATGCAACAATCCACATTTCTAACGAGAGATTTGAATTTGATTACCGTAGTATATACCCAACGCCCCAACCATTCACCGTAATACCACAGACCCAGTGAGGCCGAACCCATGCCCACACCCCGACTCCAGCCCCCCAGAAAAGACACCCTACCTATGCCTAAACGCCGCCAAATTCTACCTATAATGCAAGAAGACAAGACAAGACAAGTCGCCATCGTAAGATGAGGGTATAGAAGTAAAAGGAACACACCCATGCCGTGAGTGCGTACATGTTCGGCCATCGCCCATACGAACAGTCTTGTGTTCTGCGTTGGAAACGCTGATACATAAGGCGACAGCAACGTGTAGTGTGTGCGAAGACAGTCGTGATGGTGCCAGACATGTGAATCGAAAGAGTGAAAATTGCAGATGCTGTGAACATAGTGAAGATGATAGTAGTGCGTGCATGTTGCTAGGACACTCAAAGGAATATTAGAGTGTCGGTAGCTCAGCCGCTGGGAACCGTGAAAGCAATGGCAATGGCAATGGGATGAAGGAGTGACGTGATGCGACGGTAGTCGCGATACTGGGCGCAGCGACGCTACGAGGGAACTAAGCCTTTGCTGAAGTCTTCTTGACGGAACCCTTGTTGGAGACGCGGGTAGGTGTCTTGGGCGACTTGGCGGGCGACTTGGGTGACTTGGGCGACTTGGGAGTACGGGCTTTGGCCGGAGTCTTCTTGGGCGAAGGAGTCTTGCCAGGGAGCTTGGGGAGGAACTCGATGGAGGGGACTTGTTCAGTCTCCTTCTCCTCGAGCATCTGGAGGATGACGTCGACGATCTTCTTGACTTCTGCGTAGGTCTTGTTGAAGCCGAGCCACTGGTCCAGCTCACGGAGGACGTCGATGGGCGCCTCGAAGTGCTTGCCGATCTTGGGGTGCACACTCTTCTCAGCTTGATCATTCTTGGCTCCGGCGGCGACTTGACGGGAGTAGTGGTTTAGACGCGCTTCCTCGGACTTCTTGAAGGCGATGTCGTAAGTGGTGCCTGGAAACTGCTTCTCGATTACCTCGAACTGGCGGAGGATGAGCTGCACTTTGCGGATCTGCCACTTGGTCTTGTTGTAGGTCGCGCGCTGGTAGTGCTTGCGGCAGAAGAGAGGCCAGTCGGTGACGTCGCGGGTACACGCCTTGTTGCGGCCAAAGTGGTCGGAGATGACCTTGCGCGAGAGGTCCTTGGTGTACTGGCCAGTCATGCAGCGGGTATGCTCGTCGTTCATGCAGAGGAACTCGCGCTGTGAGTCGGGTACGTCTTCGCCATCGTCGAGAGACTCGTCACCAGAGGCGTCGGGCTCGGCCTTTGCTCAGTTGATACTCGGTCAGTTTGTGGATTCAATGGTGAAGTGGTGACTCCGCACATTGCGCGAGATGCGTGCGGATGGGGGGCTTTGCACTTACGAGGTCGGTCATGACGGTGTCAGGAGTCTTGACAGTGGGCGATGAAGGCTCTTCCTTGGTCGACTTGGGAGTAGAAGGAGGTGCAAGTATGAGCGCCGAGGTGATGTCAGGAGAATCACTCGGACTCTCGACGAGGTTGTCGACAGACATCTTGCTGCGAATGCTGTCGGCTTGAGTGACCTCAGGCGTAAAGGTAGCGCCAGCGGCGGTGTCGGGGGTCTTGATCATGTAGTCGGTGGACATGTTGACTGAGTCCGTGGGTAGATATATTACTAGTAGAGGGACGACTGTTGAAGGACGGTCGGCTGCACTGCTGTTGACGAGAGTTCAGTCTGTTGTTAAGGAAGTCTCGAGGGAGGTGAGCGGAGGCGGGTTATAAGTGGGAGAAAGGGTGGGAGGCGGCGGTGCAATCGCGGTAGGCCGATGGGAAGTGAAGGTGACTCTCAAGTGACCAATTTTTACTGTTTGAACAGACCGCCTGAGCAACCCACCGTCACCTCAGGACGGACTCAACCACGTCCCTGACTATTGTCCGTGATTCACATGTGCCGTCGTACAATGCAACGCACTGCGGCCCGAGACCGCTCGACCGCTTGAGCCCCGCTGAACTGCCATCTGCCTGGTAACTTGGGCCAATGATGAGCCCGTGAGACTCGCGATACACGTCCCTGCCAAGACAATCGTTTGTTCAAGCCCTGGCCAGCCTTTTCTTCGAGCCGCGTATGACGCCTCGAGATCGCGACCCGTGTGAGTCCAACACTTGAAGATATTAATCATGGAATGGTCGGGAAGATGAAACAATCGCCGCAATCGCCAACCCGAGTGGCAACTAGGCAATATTGAAGCTGTGCCGCTACTGAAGGATGATTTACACTCAGAGTAGGCCCGCGGAATGTTGTTACAGTACCCACATTGACAGAATACGAACCAGACAAACCTTCGAGTAGGGTTGAATGAAGTGAGGGAGTGAGAGGAATGGAGTCACGCATACGGTGATTGAAGCCTAGGAATGAAGTCTCCAGACGTGACATGGAAGTTCGAATACGATTGAGTCAAACGAATCCTCCACGCATCTATGACGGCCCCCAAGTGACTGTTAACCGACCCAACCGCGATGGTGTACGTCTAAGAGCTCAGAGTCGACAATCAGGGCTCGTGCCAACAGTTCGCCAGCCCGACCCTTGTGAAGAGACTTACTTGCCGAAGGGTAGATGTAAACGAGCATCTACGGCGTGGCATGAGTTGGTTCCCGTTCCCGTTCTAGTTCCCTGTTGTCTAGGTTTTGATAAGTTTAGTGCCTTCCAAGGTTCCGAGGTCGTAACCGCGCAGCGCTTGTGTCGAGAACTATTGATCAAACACTTATGCGATCCAGCCAATCTAGAATGCGCAAATCTGATGTGCCTGGCGAGATACCGTATACGTCTGAGGCTTAAGGCCGGCAATGCTCCTCCACTACGATCTCCGGACCGAACCCAATTGACTACGCCGCGAAGGATTCCAAGCTGCTATAGGTCGCATTCCGACGGCGGCTATGGGAAGTTACTCAATTGGTGGATACTCCTAAATATAGTGGAAATAGTAGTAGTTATTTTGCACTCTTTGGACTTGTGCCTTTGGAGAAATACGGGGCGAACCGCGGATCGGGGCCAAAAGCGTGCATGAGGCTGAGTCTCTGTGTTACTATTCGACATCTATCTCCGGGACTTCGAACTTCGAAACATTTATCCAGAGTAACACGACTGCGTATGTCCCGTTGCATACCTCAGCGTTGCCGATGCGATCTGAACCGACATGGGACGGACGGTTACGAAAGGGATTTCCACATAGAGGATAGCGGACCATGTCACGCGTGCGACTGCGGCAAGTACCAACACGGCCGGCGCGTAGAGTAAAGTAACGATGAAAGAAAGTTTGTTGTGGGTGTCTTATCTGGTCAGTACCGAGAGCATGGTAGCTCCGTGGACCCCGTGTGGTTGGGGAAGGGGAGACGGATAAAGTCGAGGGTGGTGATGGTGGGAGGGAGATGGCTTGGAGATGGCTTAGGTCACTATCGGGCAACTTGAAGCTACCGCCGATAACGCAAATCACGTGCTGCGCATTCCGTCAACAGACAGTGCCTAGCGTCTTTCGCGCCTGTAGCGTCAAGTGGTAGTGAGGAGCTCCTGTTCTGCGCATCGTCACGCTGCACGGCACCCACAGGCAAATCGCGGGACACGCCAGCAAACTACTGTTTATCGCTTGAGATGCGCCCACACGTCATTCCTACCACGCAACTTCTTTCTACACACTGCATCCTGAGCTGAGCGCGTCCGCGGCCACTTTCCTCGCCCTGCAACCCACGGAGCGCCCTCACAGCCACCATGCCGCCCACCACAGGCACTCGAACGTCTACGAGACAGGGGCGGGCCACGGTCCGACCTACCAACTACTATGCGCGCACCTTCGCCGGCCGCCTCGCCGCCAGCGGGATGGAGCAGACGCCCGAAGCGTCCAACAGCGCGCCCGGCTTCCTGCCCGCCCTCACACACTTTACCGGCGCCGTCGACGCATTCCCCAAGGAGATAATCAAGCACTTCTCCATGTTCAAGGAAGTCGAGGCAAAACTCCACGACCCAGAGCAGATGCTCACCGAGCTGCTCGACGAGATCGCCCAGCAGCCCGTCACCACCAAGGCGCAGCTGGCGGCTGTCGAACAGGCCTCTACAGCATCCGAAAATAATACCAATGTACGTTCTTGTTTGAGCGCACGCCATTACCCCAGGCTCACCATTCGCAGCTCAACCCATCCAACCCCGACAACCTCTCCCCCGAAGAGCAGGCAGCGATCCAGAAGCGCCAGCTCTTCTTTCGCCTTAGAATGCTCATCGCGAACATGCTCCCCACGCTCGACGAGAAGCTGGTAGTTCTCCAGGGCGCCAAAGCCACCAAAGACAAGGGCCTCATGCGCATGCACCACTCCTTCTCCCAGCTCGACGGCGAAATTAGCGACGAAGCGCGATACGGCAGCCTCACACACTGGGCATACGCGGACAAGGAGGAGAAGAAAAAGGGCGGCCAAAACCACGAGCGACAACGGCGCGAGGTGGCTGCGGCGAACAATCTGGCCGCGGCAGCCCAGCATGTGCATGACGTCGACTCAATTGCGGCCAAGAGCGAGGCCAGACGCGAAGCCATGCAGGCCAACAAGCGCAGTCGTCATCACCAGGTCGATTCCGACTTCGACGACCGACCCGCCAAGAAGCCACAGAAGAGGAAGCCCATGCCCGCAGAGACAGCAGGGCCAGACAGCAGGAACCTCGGGTTGGGCATCTCGAGCAATGGCGCAGGTCCGCACGGCAAGCGAAAGAAGACCGAAAAGGCCCTCGCTGCAGCGGCACCAGCTGCCCCGGCCATGGAGCGATCAATAAGCAATGCTCTGAAAGCTACCAGCAACGGCGTACGAGGTGGCTCAAGCCCACGGGGTACCCCAGGTCCAGAGAGCGGCGCAGCGAAGCGCAAACCGCGTGCCGCTCCCGTGCCTGCGCAACGCAAGAACCCGCTTCCGCCGTATTCGCCCCCAATGGCATCGTCACCCCTGGCCGCCAATTTTGCCATCAACAAAGCAATTGCCGGTGCATCGGATCGGCCGTTGTCTGCACGTGCGCGGAAGAACTCCACAGCCAACTCGGTGGCGTCGCTCAAAGACCAAGAGGCTCCTGCGGCACGGCGCCCCTCTTCTTCTCATTCCGTACAACAAGCCGCTAGTAGCAATGTCATTACAGAGCTTGAGCAGGCTGCTGGGATCGTGCGGGACAATGCCTCGGCAAAGGGCGCGTCAACTCCCAAGGAGAGCGCAGAGGTCCCGCCGCCCTTTGACACATCCAACATGAAGTTGGAGGATTTGGGACAGCCTGAGCCAGAGAGTATGGATGTCGATCCTCCTGTGCCGGCAGCAGCCTCTGCAAGGCCCGGTCGTACTTCAAAGACTGCGACACCTGTCATTGGCGCGTTCCCAGAGATATCAATGGCGAGAAGTCGCAGCAGTCGCAACGCGAACAATGGCAACTCCAACTCCAACACCTCATCCGAGAACAACAGCACGACAGGCACCGGGTCGAAACGAGGCCACAAGAAGAACACGCAACCGACTACTGCCACTGCCTCCCCCGCCATGAAACCCGTTCCCAACGTGAAATCGAACCCTCCGTCCTCCGCCGCAAGCTCCGTCGCACAAGAACAAGAATACCAAGAAGCCGAGGTAGAAGCGGAGCCCGAATCGGAAGCGGAAGAAGACGGCGACGAACCCCGATACTGCTACTGCAACGAAGTGTCGTATGGCAACATGATTGCCTGCGACAACGACGACTGCCCCCGCGAGTGGTTCCATCTTGCTTGCGTCAACCTCGACAAACCGCCCACTGGCCGGACCAAATGGTTCTGCAGTGACGAGTGCAAGGAGACACACACCAAGACCAAGGCCAAGGGGGGTCGTCCAGGCAGTAGTAGGCAATAGGAATTAGGAAGGAGTTCAAGGCGTTCTGGGACGGGTCCAGCGGGAGCTGGGTCTAGGCAAGGCCCGAAGGGTAAGGGCAAGGCTAGGTTAAATCTCTGGGATGGTTGGAATGCTTTGTAGAGGGAGCTTCCAACCGCGGTTTGCATTTCTTTGGATTCTTGTGTGGGTTTCGCGGCGTTGTTCCACAGGCCTTGGGTAAATGGCGCATCTTCTCTCTTATGATCATGATTTCTGGACCGGTGATATCCGCTTTGGAGGGCACTGGCGTTTTGCATCGTCCAGACATGGCATCGAGAAGCACAGCCCTCGCCTTTGCTGGTTACAGTATTGTATATGAGGCATTACCTTTGCTCTATCTATTAGAGCACGTAGTTCAATAGCAAAGTACCTACATTCATGAGTCTTGTTGCAAGGGATCTGGAGTGGCCTGAGCTTCAGGTAGCACCGTTGTTGATGCGCGCCATCCCAGAGGTCCTTCCTGACCCCTCATACATGCCATGCGGCAGCGGTACGGCACCCGTCAGCCTCAAGACTGCCCCTTGCAGATCCACCCACGACTTAGAAAGACGTCATCGTCATTGGTCCACGCGCCCTCGCCATGCAGCTCAGCCTGGACCCTGAAGCGCTAGCTGCGTTCGATGATGCACAGCAGCGTCGGGGCGTGCTCACCGCTCGAACACGCGACAAAAACGCCTTGGATACCATAATCCCCCGACGACTATCTCCCGCGTTGGAACACGTATGACATAGACTCCCACTTCATCATGGCACCTACAGACCACCCTTCAGCGGAAGAACTGCTCATATGCGAGCCCGAAGGCGGCGCGCCAAATGCCCCGCCAGACCTCCGTTTCTTACACTACAATGATGTCTACCACGTAGAAGCGGGGTCGAGAGAGCCCGTGGGCGGATATGCTCGATTCCAAACCCTCGTCAATTATTATAGAAGCGACGAGAGATTCAAGGACCAACCGAAGCTCTTGACCTTTTTCTCTGGAGATGCGTTCAATCCCAGCATTGAGAGTAGTATCACAAAGGGTGAGTGAGCTGAAATGCCCGAGAATATGCAAGGAGACTGACGCTAATTCTAGGAAGCCACATGGTTCCTGTATTGAACAACATTGGCACAGACGTCTCTTGCGTAGGAGTATGTACGTCGATGTTTACAAACGTCGAGTTTAACTAACGAAAGCATAGAACCACGACCTTGACTTTGGCGTCAAGCAGTATCGCTACCTCACAGCCAAATGCAAGTTCCCATGGCTCCTCGCAAACGTACACGATCCAGCCCTCGGCGACGGCGTCCCACTCGGAAACGCGAAGAAGACGGTCATGCTCACAGCATCCAACGGCATCAAAGTCGGTGTCATTGGGCTCGCCGAACGAGAGTGGCTTGACACGATCAATGCACTTCCGCCGGACATCATATATAAGAGCGCGTCCGAGACTGCGAAGGAACTCATCCCTGGCCTGAAGGAGCAGGGCGCAGAGATTATCGTATGCGTGTCGCATCAGCGAGAGCCCAACGACAACAAGCTGGCAAAGCAATGCGGCGGCGGCTTGATTGACATCATCCTCGGCGGCCACGACCACTACTACTCGTACAGCCTGATCAACGGCACCCAAGTACTGCGTTCAGGCACCGACTTCAAACAGCTCTCCCACGTCGAGGCGTGGCGGAAGCCCGAAGGCAAGGGATGGGATTTCAAGATCATACGGCGAGATATTGTCAGCAGCATACCACAAGATCCACAGGCAATGGAGCTGGTAGAAGAACAGACACGGGAGATCAGGAAGCGGTTAGACAAGCCGATCGGATACACCGCTGCGCCACTTGACGCCCGGTTCACAACTGTACGGACAAAGGAGTCGAACATTGGCAATTTCGTCTGCGATCTCATGCGCTACTACTACTCAGCAGAATGCTGTATCATGGCCGCTGGAACAATCCGCGGCGACCAGATCTATCCTCCTGGATTGTTGAAGCTCAGAGATCTGGTCAACTGCTTCCCATTTGAAGACCCAGTCGTAGTACTAAAGGTCACCGGCAAGGCGATACGAGAAGCACTGGAGAACGGCGTCAGCAACTACCCAGCCCTCGAAGGAAGATTCCCACAAGTCTCCAACATCACCTTCGAAGCCGACTACTCTAAACCACCACATTCGCGAGTAACAAACGTGACAATCGGAGAGGAGCCCGTAGACGAGACGCGCGAGTATGTTCTTGCTACACGAGGCTACATGGGCCGTGGTAAAGGTACGTCGCCATCCCTCAACAAAGACATCCCACGTACTAACTCCCTTCAGACGGCTACACATCCCTCCTAATCGAAGAAGAAGGCGGCGTCGCCAAAGAAATCGTCTCGGAAGAAAACGGCGTCCTCATCTCCACCATCCTGCGCCAATACTTCATGTCTCTGAAGGTCCTCGGCAAATGGAAACGCTGGGGCAAGTCCATGAACTCGCGCTTCGCGTCTATACAAACGAACTTACAGAAACACGGTCATGCCTTCCACGACCCGAGTCCTACTTCACCTACCCAGTCCCGTGGCAACAATCCCGCAGAGGACCTGGGTGAGAAAAATCAACGCGACGACAACACACACGACACCCTCGGAGAAGAGGACCCAGACCAAGATGAAGACGAAGACGATGGGCCCATGTATGACTCCAGAGTCCCGATACAATTTACAGACAAGCAGACCGAGATGATCCGGCGTGTGATGCGGAAATGGTGGCGCGTTGCTGGTCTCAAGGGAAACCCTAAGCTGTGTGATGAGCTAGATGGCGCGGAGTTCCAGGTCAACTGGACGAAAGCGATTGCGCCGAGACTGGAAGGCAGGATCAGGGAGATTGGGCCTGGGGTTAAGATTGAGGCGTGATGGTTTTGTGTATCTAGATAGCTGTGATGGGAAAGATGGTTAGGGTGTGGATGTTCACTGCTACGGTATGAAGAGGGGAAAGGTGTATGATGTTTATGATTCATGATTCATTAGCCCCAGGCTGGGCTGAAATACGATCTCGAGAGCCTGCTTTAGTGCTACCTCCAAATGCTACCAACCCCGTGACCCCTAATAAACCGAGTTTTACTCCTTCGCATACCCCTTGTACGTTCCGTAGTTTCCTCCCGCAGGCGCAGGAACGTTCTTGTAGTCGCCGTAGGTTGCTGGCTTGGGAGCTGGGACGTTCTTGTAGTCGCCGTATCCGCCTACAGGCGCGGGAACGTTCTTATAGTCGCCTTGTTGCCGTGTTAGTATGATGGAGAGTGGCGAGGTAAGAGAAAGGGAGGAGAAGACTGTATGTGAATGGAGGGGTATAGCATACCGTACGTGCTGTATTTACCCTGAGCAACTGCAGCCGGTGCCGCGAGGGCGCATGTTACGAGAGCGAGGATGGATAGGACGGACTTCATAGTTGGTGTTTGGGGTTGAAGAAAGAAGGTTGGTATTAATGAGTAGTACGGAGACGTTTGTATGGATGGGCAGTAGGAATGGAGTCCTGCTGTGGACACACATGTATAGCGAGCACCATCCTTATATATGTATGTACATAGGTCCTTTAATCGCTCACCTAAAGCTAGCTCTTACCTCCTCGCATGCCTCCCCCGCGTGTTTTAGCTATATCATGCGCTGGCTTCTCTCTTCTGTGGCGTGATTCCAGACTAGATCTCGTATGTGCGGCGGGCTGACTATTGAGCTTGATCCGGTCAAAGCCGTGAGTACGGGGGCGTAGTGGGAAGCAGGCGGGATGGCGTTGGGGAAAAAGTGGAGAGTAGTCAAGATCTTGTCGGAATCAAGCCGTCTACGCAAGAGCAAATGGTTGTTTGTGGAGAGCTGAGAGCGACTTTAGCATCATACACTTGAGGTCGGTGTGGATGCTCGGTGTGTTCAGCTTTGGAACCTTGGTAGTGGACATCCGGTGTCGAAGAGATGTCACTGCAACCCCACAGAGCTTCGACGCTTTGGAATCCGCATCTTGCATTGTAGATTACGCAAGACCCGATGTGGCGCTCGTGATGGTAGCTGGCATCGTGCTATTGATTCTTCTTGTCTACTCTAGTCCCGTATCTATTCTTGTGGTGGTGCATCGAGTTCGACGGCCAGCTATCGAAAATGCGGCACGCGCGCTGCAAGCTGCTCGAACGAAGTTTAGCGCAGTTGATGACCATTATTTCCGACAAAGGTATACGAGACAGGTCGTGGTGGTTGTGTGTCCCAGCTCAGCCCTAAAACGCCACCAGCGATCGTGAATGGAGGGGTGCATCGTGTGTCGTATTCAGCTTAGGCGGGGTAAGAGCTAGAAGCTGGGAGTGCGACTGACCACCATCCGCAATGTTTGGCTATGGCTAATCGTCGCCTTTTCGATTTGGCATGCCTCTCGCCTTTGCTTTCACCTTCGTCCCCGTGTGCATAACTCCATCTCTTCTTCATTGCCGCAATGTCGAACATCGAAATTGAGAAAGGATCAAGTTACGAACATGATCGAGAGAATGAAGACTGCGAGAGATTACTTCCAGATCATGAAGAAGCCTCGCTCGATTTGCGACCATTGCGACAAACATCGCGGCATTGGTCATGGCTAGCAATAGCTACCGCGTTCCTCGGCACAGCTATACTCTCTGCCTGCCTAGGAGCATGGATAGCTCAAAGGGAACGACTCGATGCAGATGCGTTTTGCATCAGGCACACCTCACAGTATTGTACGGTCGATGGAGCTGCTTATGAGGAATGTCTTGCTAATACTAGTCAGCTCCGATCATCAAGGATGTCGGAGTTACCTACAACCAGATCCAGTTCAACGGATCCTTGTTAGTATCAAACGCGTACCGACTAGATGCTGGACCTGAAGTAGATGCGGCGTGGAAAGAGTTGGGTGTTGACTGTAAGCTCTCCTGATGTACAGTGATTCCAGTATCTAACATCCATGACTAGACCATGCCGCGAGAGTACCAAACGAGGAGGCTGGAAAATCGGGTCTTGCCTCTGATCAAGTAAAAATCAAGGAGGAATACGGAGGCGGATATCCGGCACACGTGGAAGGCTTGCACCATCTGCATTGCTTGGTGGGTTTTGCGAATACTGTGTGAGGAAAGATGTTGACCATGTGTAGAACCTGTTGCGAAAGTCCCTTTCTTGGAACTTCGAGTACTACCAGAAGCAAGGGCTTGGTCCGTTCTCCAACGATGCAAACATTCTGAAGCACCACGTTAGTAAGTCAGCGTCCTTGCATACATCTGGAGATGTTACTCACATTTCTAGCTCATTGTCTCGACATCTTGCGGCAACAACTCATGTGTACAGTTGACAATGGCGTTCTGGGTCAAGTATGGTATCAGCCTCCGGACAAGCCATTGCAAGCCTTTGTTGACTTCAATACCGTCCATACGTGTCGGAACTTTGATGCGATCAGGAATTGGGCAGAGAAGCACCAGCTGCCGGCAGCGGAAGACACGCCGCCAGATTTTCTTCAATTACCGGAAAAAGGTGATCGGATATATCATGATGTCCCGTAGACTACCAGAATGGATCAGAGTTATCGAGCGTCGCCCATTCATCTCCTCCATCACTCCAATCTCTCCACATATCTTTCGCTACGATATCCAGCTGACCGTGGCGAAGCCTGGCAAAATCCACGTCGAAAGGGTGCGGCTTGAAAGTCTTGCCTTGGCTGCTGGCTCGGTTCATCAAATCGAGCTTGTACATGCGCACTATCCTCGCAGCAGCGCGAACAAATAGCTCTTTCTCCATATCCTTTTCCCATATGTCTTCTGTGAGCATCATCACCATATGCGAGATCTTGGGGAACTCGCGAAGGACGTTGGACAGGCTACCGTCTCGAAATCCGTTCAGTATTACTTTGGTGACAGCAACCTTTTGGAGCTCTTCGGGATTGCAACCTGTCGCACATCTGAAGTGAGCCAGTAGTCCTACTTCGGGCGAGTCGTCATAATGCTTCACGCGCTTCCCTTCCAGCTGTATCAATAGGATGTCGGTATCGATGCGGAAATAGAATTCGCCCCCACCGGTACCTGGAATGTCCGACGGCAACTCCACGATGTGGTCCGCTTTGATAGCTTGGTAACGAGCCTCTTCGCGCGACTCATGACATATGTTTACCACAGTCGGCGCAGGGCTAGGTGAGTACCGTGGGCAAAAATGCGTTTCGTCATGACTTTCTGCGTGTGGCTTCGTTTCCAGCGCAACCAGGCGAGGAGGCTCGTTGTGGTATGCAAGCGACCAAATCTGCAGGCGAAGTTCCTTGGGCAGCAATGATATGGACATGGCCGTCGGGTAGGAAGGTGGGTTTGAGATAGGAGGAAAGGACACGCTCGGACCTTCCCCATGCAGAGGATCACGTGCGTCGCGATCCGGGCAACGTTGGGTTGGCATTCCGCCATTACGAGTCCTACCCACTTAGCTCCACTTGGCACGGATACCTAACTTTATACCGATAACTATCCCATGTTCGGCAACACATCACACATAACGCGTGGTCAGCTCCGATGCTCATACCTCCGAGTTCCAAAATTCTGTGTCTCGAAGCTTCGCTGGGTGACCCATTCCAAAGTCCAGATCATCCGCGGGGAGCCATGGATATTGCAATCAGATCGTCAATGGCATGTTTGTTGTGATTGACATCGGACTTTTCGCGTGCATCGCGCAAAATGCCATCCATGGAGCTATCCAAATCATCGATTCGCATGGTGGTAAGCGTAGTAAGCCCAGGTGGCACAGCACGATAGCGAGTCATTGCCGAAGGCGAACAGCTTCTGCTGACATCGCATTAGTCCATTGGAAGCAAAGAGCGTCGTGGACAGCCTGGTGACCAAGGTGTTCGAAGGTCGGTGAAGGGCTCCTGGAGCTTGGAGCAACCCGCCAACCCTTATTGTCAAGATCGTGAGCACGGTGCGCGTGTTGTGATACCGCCGAAGCTGGTAAATTGATGAGGCTCTGGGTGGGTTCGATGCGGGTATCCCACCGGAGCCCCCTGGAGTCCCACTGGAGAAAACACGACGGCGTCGTCTTATGTGGATCTGTTGGACTCGCGACCCGCTGTATGTGAAGTCACACTGACACCCGCGCGGATGCTTTGCCGGGCGCAGAGTCTAGTTTTGCTAGCATTGGCCTGATCGACGATGCTGAGACCGATCAACGGCTTGCCTCTCGAGCTCGGAAGAGGCTGAAAGATTTGAGGCTCCATGTGACGAGGCTGGGCGACTTTGCTGTCGTGTTGTTGGTCGTGGAGCGCTTCCCCTCCCCCGCTTTAAAGGCAAAACCACCCCTCTTCGAGCGTCATACCGCAGACACCGCATAGGAAAGGCACGCGCCCGGGTTCCGCTGCCGATTAAACACCGAAACCTTCGTTCTCCTACGATGCTCTCCTGGCGATTCTCTCTCTACCACCTCAATTTCAACTCATAAGCTTGTACACCTAAAATTCGGTGTTCTTTGTCGCGAAACCTCTTTCGCACCGCACCTTCGGAACAACGTCATCGGCAATTGCGCTTTGCTGCGGCACCGCACACTCACACGCAACCCAGCGCAATCCAGACATCCTTCAGCGCGGACACTGCAGAGAAGCGAATCGGTTTTTAGACCTGATTGGCTTGATTAGAAATTTTTCCGTACCTTCGCAATACCCAGTACCCTTCTTGGTGCCGAATTTCGGGAAGCAACACGTCGCGACCAACAGCTGCACCCGTCGCACCTATTCCACAGCCCCGACCGCGGACGGAAACCATCTTCCGTATAAGTACAACGGGTCGCATACACATTTGAAACCATCCAGCGCAACTTTCAGCATGGCGACACAAGACATTTCCGCCCACAACACTGAGCCACAGCCAGTCCCCAAGGGAGAAGAAGCTGGAGACGAATCGCAGGCGCATCTGGACGAGGGGAGGTTGAGGCAGTTCTTCATTGGATCCATAGACCAAGGAACCACGAGTACCCGCTTCATCATCTTTGATGGTCTCGGTGAGCCCGTAGCTCAACATCAGATTGAGTTCACCCAAAAGTATCCTCAGTCAGGGTCAGTACTGCGCATGTCTCGTGACTTTACATGGGTTAATTAGCGTAGATGGCATGAACACGACCCATGGGAAATAATCAACACCGTGGAGCAGTGCATCGATAGGGCTACGAACATCTTCCTTGATAACGGACACGAAATCGAAGACATCAAGGCAGTCGGCATCACCAACCAGCGTGAAACAACAGTCGTCTGGGATACCAATAGTGGGCTGCCACTATGCAATGCGATCGCATGGTACGTACAATATTACCCCAAAGACGAGCACAACGCGACTGACTTCAGGCGATTCTAGGCCAGATACCAGAACCAAGGGACTGGTCCGTGAACTGAAAGATCGCGAAGGCGCCGACGAGCTACTCCAGATGTGTGGACTTCCCC